ACAAAAACGTTACGTGCAATTAATTAATAACCTGATCCTCTACTTTTGTTATATTCTTGTTTTTGTGTTCTTCTTCTCCTCCCCCTCCTCGTGTTCCATGTTTTCTTACCACTCTCTTCGCTTCCTTGTTCGACTTTGCGGGTACCATTCTCCTTCTGGACATTTCTGAAGATAATTCATTGGCTTTTATGTTTTATTTTTAGAAGGGTAAAAACCCGTTTCAACATTAAACAAAGTAATTAATGTTCCAAGACAAATTTAATTTGATTTGCACTGAAAGCAACATCATTTTCATAACATGGTTCTTCTTTAGGTACAATCTACAACCTAAAGTAATCATTGACATCCTCTATAATTTATTTCCTATATTTAAACTACGCAGTGGTTTTAACGACTAAAATTGTACATCTTCTGTAGGATTCATTGTACTTATATCTTTCTGTTTCAATCTTTTTGGTACCAATAAATTGATCGTCAAAATCTTAATAAGATTTGATCTTTGGTACCACTGTATCACATTTTCAATTCGAATAGACAATACACTTAAATCTTGAAATTGCTCAAACCTAAGGGCAAAATGGTAGAATATTTTAAGGGAGTAATTGCGTGGGAAATGGAAAGGAAAAGAGTTTACTTAAAAGACTTTCAGTTATGAAGTTTGCACTTTTGGTGAACCACATCAGAAAAGTTTGTATAACAAAGTTCTTGATTTGAAAACGCGACACGCCATTATGAGAACGTTTACAGTTTTTTTTTTAATCAAACTAAATGATCATCTAGTGTTTGATGTACATAAATATCTATTTAGCCTATATTGTTTTGTGTCAAATGTTTCGCTATCGAATCTTTTCTTAGCAAAATAGTTTTATGTTAATTTGTGTGGTTGAATTGGTTGTGAAATTTGAAAGAGTATTACAAAAAAAATAGTGAACGATATATTCAGGATATGGTTGTCATCCTGGATTGTAAGGTATACATTTATTTTGTATGTTTATTAAGTTTATTATTGTAGTTATAAAAGTGTAAAAAAAAGTTCATTTAAAATGATTATTATTTTCTACAAACTAAAACATTTAGGTCGACATAGTAAGTTTTCTTTTGCCTGTGAACATATTTTTAAGTAATAATTGTTAACTAGATAGGATTTGTTATGTATTTAAGTATTTGAGAGGGAGCTGTCTAAACCTTGGACTTCACTATTCATAATTTACCTATCATAGACCTTTGCTGTATAGCTTTATCAATAGTTAGAACCGATCCGGTTCAGGCAACTTAAAGAGATATAAAGGATAGCTCTGCCTCCCAAACTATTACATTTTACTGTTTTTTTGTGTTGTCCTGAATGGTTGCTGGCTATAAACATGTAATTTTTCTTATTTTGTCAAGTCTTTTCTTATGACACCCACGTTTAAAACCTCCTCATGAGAACATCTTAAATGTACATTGACGATCTACAACTTGAAAGCACATAAATACGTCAAATAACACTTATAATACAGTGTTATTTGTAGAAGTATTTGGAGCAGAGCCCTAACCTTCGCCTATTGGGTCTGATGATGATTGGAGGGTCCAATCGAAATCGATCACCACTTACCATATTTTATATGTATTTACAGTCTTGTGAGTAAACAGTATAGGTGTAAATATATTATTATAAGTGTTATTTGACGTATTTTTGTGCCTTCAGGTAATGTAATAACACGTATGATGATGATCAAGAAGTGATCAACAACTTATAATATTTTGTACCTGAATTTCATTGGCAAAAAATGTATTTATTTTTGACCGGTAAGTTACATTTTTTAATACTTTAATTTTCAGCCACAATCTTACGGTTTACGAAACAAATGCTTAATATTGAGGTAGGGATAAATGTCTTAGGGACTTATTTGCACCTTGTACCTAAATATTTATATTATTTATTTTCAATAAATCAATCTGCTTTGAATTCATGTTGCAATTAAAAACCATTTTCAATTAAATCAGTTCATCATTTTATAACATTTAAAATAAAATTTGTGTCTTATATTCAGACCTTAACAAACCTACTTTTTAAATGCTAAATATACAATATTCACTGGGGTTTTAAGTTTTATTTTGCTTTAACCCCACTATGACCTAAAAACATGTAATCTTAACATTGCATAAAATTTAAACAGCTCCAGTGTTGCCACCATCACCTAACTTATGACTTCCTCAACAGCAACACTGCTGCCAACTATATGAGGGTTGTTTTATGTAAGGGCGTAAGAAGTGTGCAGTCACATATTTCACTTGCAGGTAAAGCTTTTCTTACTGTTTCTACCACATCGTCTGACGTAGAATAAGATTTTTCCAAATACGTTTTTTATAGATCAAAAAAGCTTAGCTGAAAAACCTTACATAATATAGTTTAACATTTCAAGAACTAATGACTTTAAAGGAAGGATTTGTTAACTACACATTGTACTTCCTTCAGAAGTTTAAATTATTGTTTATTTCAACTACAAAATAAAACCATCTCCTTAATTAACAAAATTCTATGAATCAAATAAAATCAGAAGTGTATGTGTATGATAATATAATAATAATACCCCCGCCACAGCAAACCTGCAGACTTAGCGAATTTCCATTTGCCTCATTGGATTTACACTAAAATGTCTCCTTAAATATATCACATTTATTCCCTATTTAAATAGAATTAGTTTAACGAGTACTTAGGTTTGCTGCAACAGGGAGGGTAAAAAGGTGTTTTTTTTATGTAAAATGTTAATAGGTACTGTAGTTTAGTTAGAAATTAATGTATTTTCCAAATTTGATCAAAATATGTTCATAAATAACCAAACTACAACAGTTGACTTATTCTCCATAAGAATAACATGGGAATTTTAAAATTACAATTTTTTGAACTTTCTCCGTAACCCGTAGGCGCATAATAACGCTTCAATATACTAAATGATTTGTTTCTTTAAGCTCTACATAATGGTTTGGAAAGTAATTGTGAAATTTTGTTTTTTTAGGGTAAAAATGGGAAAAACCCTATTTTTACCCCATAAAACCCCCTATAAACCCCCGTTCCCATAGTCCGAACATGCTGGTTCGCGAACTCATTCAAGTTTATCCTGCTTTACACCTCTAAACCAAAAATTCGTCAAAATCGGACAAAAATTACTCAAGTTATCGCATCGCGTTCATGGACACACACACACATATATATATATATAAATCTATAAACATTTTAACGAATGGTGTTTTTGGTCTTTGGGTACATCAAAATGAAAAATTAAATCGGTCCCGGGTCTAGGTCTTACCATGCCACCTACGGTAATAGCTTACTTCCCTATAGGGAAATTCGCTAATAATAATAATAATATAAAATACTAACAAATGCTGCAAATAAAGAATATGATTTTTTATTTTATACAAGAGTCATCACCACACACAACAATATATATTTTAAAACATGTTAAATGCATAGACATATAAATGACACTACATCTCCCCTTTCTCATATTCTACTTGTATCTTATTGGTGGTCTGATAGTTCTGCTTGATCTTCTTATTTGATCATCGTTTTGGTTAACATATTAACCTCATCCCACGGTAAACATAATAAGAATCAGCATTCTCTTCTCTTGGTAGGGAAATGAGATGCCATCTGTTTCGTCTTACATCATTCCCATTCCTCAATGATACTATGTAGGACCGAGGAAGATATTAATTGTAGTTTTTATCGTTCCTTTCGCACTTATATCCTTAAACCAACCCCTCTCTCCTACTGCTAAAGGTAGAGGTTCTTTGACGACTCTTCTGGTGTCAACATTTGTCTAAACCCAATGCCTTATTTTCTTATCACAGTTTCTAAAGGATTCCAAACGATGTTTTCCGACCACTTGAAAGTCGTTGGGAGAAAATAAACCATTAAAATAGCTTTAAACTTTTAGCGAATTTCCCATATAGGGAATAAGCTATTACCGTAGTACTCACGGTAAGACCTGGACCCGGGACCGATTTTTTTTTCGTTTTGAGGTCCCTAGAGGTCAAAAACACCATCCGTTCAAATTCATATATATATATATATCTTATAAAAGGCAAAGCCCTCACTGACTGACTGACTGACTGACTGACTGACTGACTCACTCACTCACTCATCACTAATTCTCCCACTTCCCATTTACCTAGGAGGCTGAAATTCGGTACACTGATTCTTTGGGCATTAAATAGGAAAACTAAGTGGTTTTTATTCTGATCGGGCTTTCGGGCTCCGCCCCAGTGGCTCTGGAGTTTCCCATGTTAACCTTATGATTTTTCATATTTAAAAGGAATTAATGAATCTTAACAGCTGTTTCAATTAAACAAGTTAGTTCTGTTCTATGATGTTCAATAGCATTAAAGTTACAGGGATTACCAACAGGGTGCAGCACTATTATTTTTTAAACATCATCATGTTAAAGTAAAAGGTCTACAGTTTCTATAGTCAATGATCTTGATACAGTACAGTAGGAACCCAGCTGTCAAGATCATTGACTATAGAAACTGTAGACCTTTTACTTTAACACAGAAGAAGAAACTGTCCTTTAATGTAAACATCTGTTAAATAAAATTGTGAACAAATAAGAAATTAATCTTTGTTTTGTTTATATTTATGAATCTTTATTTTGTGCAGTGGTGTGACAGGTTAAAAATTAACTTCACACAATTTCAGTGTTTTATTAATTTATTATTTGTTAACAATTTTATTTTTATTGGTTTCTTTTAATTTATTTTTATTTTTTGACATGGATACAAAATTGACAATATTTGGAAAAAATGACTTGCAGTTTAAAGTTATTCGCATGCCTCCAGATGGTTCGTGCCTCTTTCATTCTATATGCTACTCAGTTTATGGAAATAACTTATACAGCGATTACGTAAGAGAGAAAATAGTTAACTATGTCTCTACCAATTGGGCAAAATTCCAAATTTTAACACATGATACTAAAGGGAATAATTATATCTCCCCTGAACACTACCGCCATGAGATGCTGAAACCATCGACTTACGGATCAGCATGTGAGTTGATTGCCGCATCTGAATTCTATCACTGCATATTCAGAGTATACCATGATGGTCATTTACTGCAGAGCTTTGGTGTTGAGGGAACAGCAACTGAGTATCATATACTGTTCTCTGGTAATCTCAGTAGTGGACACTTTGATGTTCTTGAGCCAACTCATAACACTGAAAATGATCATGACTCATCGACAAAGTTCAATATTGTCCTTGAAACTAACCATCAAAAGGCACCAGAAATTCCACCCAAACCGTATCGGAAAACAGTTTCACAATGCACTGAAGATGAAGGTGTGAACTTTGAATACAGCATAGAACAACCTAAAGTTAAACGGTTAAAGCAAATTGCAACTTCACAACCTGTTGAAACTTCCATCAGGATAAGTCACATTAGAGACATTTTACATGATGAAAAAGAACTAGGCCTACTTGAGCATGTAAATCAAAAAACAAATATTTTTCAGTCTTATGACAGTTACTCGGAAAATATTGAACAACCCGAAAATACAGCTAAACAAGATAAAGTAAAATCAAAAAAGAAACGAACCAAGCGGAAAGGGCATTTTTCAATTACGCCACGTTTAAAACAACTGCGTGATGCTGCAGCTAAATATAAAATAACACACCCAGAAGTCAACAAAGCTGCTGTGGCGAAATACACTCAGCAAAACCCGGAAGTCAATCGTGCGGCTGTTGCCAAGTATACTCAGCAAAATCCAGAAGTTAATCGAGCGGCTGTTGCCAAGTATACTCAGCAAAATCCAGAAGCACACCGAGTAGCTGTCGCAAAGTATACTCAGCAAAATCCAGAAGCACACCGAGTAGCTGTCGCTAAGTATACTCAGCAAAATCCAGAATCACACCGAGTAGCTGTCGCTAAGTATACTCAGCAAAATCCAGAAGTACACCGAGTAGCTGTCGCAAAGTATACTCAGCAAAATCCAGAAGCACACCGAGTAGCTGTCGCAAAGTATACTCAGCAAAATCCAGAAGTACACCGAGTAGCTGTCGCAAAGTATACTCAGCAAAATCCAGAAGCACACCGAGTAGCTGTCGCAAAGTATACTCAGCAAAATCCAGAAGCACACCGAGTAGCTGTCGCAAAGTATACAAAAAATAAACCTGAAGTGAACCGGGCTGCTGTTTCAAAATATGATAAAAATCATGAAAAGCGCCAGCAGCGTAAAAACAAGACGTGGTCTGCAAACGCAAACTCTGGATTCCAATATGACCCTAATATTTGTTATGAATCAGATAAAATCATTTCGTTAGGACCCATGGAAGTTTTATGCAATCATTGTAAAGCTCTAAAATGGAAAAACGAATCCAACGGATTGTGTTGTGACAGTGGAAAAGTTTGTATTAACCGCCTTGAAAAACGACCTGAACCTCTTCACAGCCTCATTGTCGGTGGTCATCCCGAAAGTGAACACTTCCTCAGCAACTCTAGAAAGTATAATAGTGCTTTCCAAATGACGTCCTTTGGAGCTAAACAAATTGTTGAAAGCGGCTTTATGCCTACATTTAAGGTACAAGGACAAGTATATCATTTAATTGGTAGCCTGCTACCTTCATCAAACAGCGATGATCATCAGTTTTTACAGCTTTATTTTATTGGCGATGACAATAAGGAAACAACTGCACGCTGTGACAAGGTCCCAGGAATCAAACCAGCATTAGTCCACATGATTCAAAACATGCTTCATAATTTTAATACTTATGTTATGGACTTTAAATGCGCTATTGAAAATATGTCAGAAGATAGTAGGCAATTCCAAGTCGTCATTCATGCTGATAAAAAACCTACTAATGCCCACAGGGGCAGGTACAATGCACCGGTATCAGGAGAAGTTGGTGCAGTGATTGTTGGCCAAGAGTTTGGAAAGAGAGATATTTTAATTAAGGGTAGGGACAATAAACTTCAGCGCATTTCAGAAACGCACAGGGCTTACGATGCTTTGCAGTATCCTCTAATGTTCTGCTACGGTGAAGATGGCTATTCCATATCCATTTCTCAGTGTGACCCTGATACAAAGACTCATTTGCAGAAAACAGTTTCTGCTGCAAGCTATTATTGTTTTCGGTTAATGGTTTTAAGTGAAGAAATAAATTACTTGCATCATTTCCGTGGCTTACTTAATCAGTTCATGGTTGACATGTACGCCAAAATTGAAACCGAGAGGTTAAACTTCATTAGAAATAATCAGAAAAAACTTCGGGCTGAAAACTACGTTCACTTAAAAGATGCCGTCGGGAAAGGTGACACAAATCCAGAAGACCTAGGACAAGCAGTGATCTTGCCTTCAACATTCACTGGTGGGGCGCGGTACATGCACGAGCGGACACAGGACGCCATGACCTACGTGCGGCACTATGGAAGGCCAGATCTGTTCATCACATTTACGTGTAACCCTAAGTGGGATGAAATATCTGAAAATCTGTTTGATGGACAAAAGCCTCAGGACCGCCATGATTTAATCAGTCGTGTATTTCACCTTAAAGTAAAATCCATGATTAATTTACTAACAAAGGTTGGCATTTTTGGGCCCAGCTTATGTTTCATGTACACCATCGAGTGGCAAAAGAGGGGACTGCCCCATATCCTTCTATGGCTGAAAACCAAAATCAAGCCTGAAAAAATCGATCAAGTTATTTGCGCTGAGATACCAGACCCTGAAACAGATACAAAACTCCACAACATTGTTAAATCCACAATGATTCATGGCCCTTGTGGTGACTTAAACAAGAAATCACCGTGCATGGTGAAAGGATCGTGTAGCAAACAATACCCTCGACCTCTTCTTAAAGAAACTCAGACTGGGGATGATGGTTACCCCAAGTACCGCAGACGAGCCTCAAATGACGGTGGACATACAGTCAAAATTAGCAACATGACTCTGGACAATAGGTGGGTAGTGCCCTACAATCCTGTACTTTCCCGTACATTCAACGCACATATCAATGTAGAATATTGTAATTCTGTTAAATCAATAAAATATGTTTGTAAGTATGTAAATAAAGGAAGTGACCAGGCAGTGTTCTCTTTAAGTGACCAACTTGACGAAGTGACTCGGTATGAATCAGGGCGTTACATAAGCAGCTCCGAAGCAGCTTGGAGAATATTTTGTTTCCCTATACATGAACGCTTCCCTCCAGTATTTCACCTTGCTGTACATCTCGAAAATGGGCAAAGAGTCTACTTTACATCAACTAATGTCACTGATAGAGTCAATAACCCAGCTAAAACCACTCTTATTGGGTTTTTTGAACTGTGCCAGCATGATGACTTCGCTAAAGGTCTTCTGTACTGTGAGGTTCCAGCATACTATGTATGGAAATCCAACAAGTTTGTAAGAAGGAAGCAAGGACTTCCTGTGCAGAGCCACGTTGGAATAAAAAAGGACCATGTCTTAGGAAGGGTATACACTATACACCCAAACAATTTTGAATGCTACTACCTCCGGATTTTACTACACGAAGTCAGAGGGCCCACGTCATTCGAATATCTCAAGACTGTTAGAGGGGTTGTTCATCCAACATTTAAGGCAGCTTGCAGCGCGCTTGGGTTACTCGAGGACGACTCTCACTGGAATCACACACTAGAGGAAGCTTCCCTTTCAGATTCCCCTTATAAGATCCGTGAGCTGTTAGCTACCATGCTGGTGTTTTGTCGAGTAGGGAACCCCATGGAACTATGGGATAATCATAAAGAGAGTTTGGCGGATGATATAAGGAGGTCAGTAGGTAAAGATTGTGATGATGTTGAGCAAGCTATGGACATTGTTTACAACAGGTGTATGGTTTTGCTTGAAGAGTTGGTTTATTCGATTTCTGGAAACTCACTCAAACATTACGGCCTTCCTACCCCATCACGTGAGCATAGTGTGACAACCAACCGAGAACTTCTAAGGGAACTCAATTATGATGTAGCCCAACTATCTGATGCAGTTGCTGTAAATGCCGCAAAATTAAATCAGGATCAACATAAAGTTTACAAGGAAATCACAAGTAGTATTACATCAGAATTAGGGCAACTCTTTTTCCTGGATGCTCCTGGTGGAACAGGTAAAACATTTGTAATCAATTTATTACTGGCCAAAGTGAGAAGTGAAAGGAAAATCGCTATCGCAGTTGCTTCCTCAGGCATAGCAGCAACATTGCTTGATGGGGGAAAAACCGCACACTCCGCTTTCAAGATACCTCTTAATTTGAACCACACAGAGACACCAATGTGTAACATATCAAAGCAATGCAGCCTAGCACAAGTACTGAGAGAAACTCAATTAATAGTGTGGGATGAGTGTACCATGGCCCATAAAGGAGCTATCGAAGCATTGGACAGAACACTCCGTGACTTAAGAAATTGTAACCATCTGATGGGCGGTATCACGGTTCTCCTGGCTGGCGATTTCAGGCAAACTCTGCCTGTAGTGCCCCGTGGAACCCGCGCTGATGAGGTCAAAGCGTGTCTCAAGTCATCTTATTTATGGCCTAAAATAAAAATGCTGACATTGAGGGTTAACATGAGGGTTTACCTGAATGGTGATTTGGATAGTGAAGAGTTTTCAGCCCTAATCTTACAGATAGGAGATGGGAAGGTGTCGGAGGATAGTGATGGGAAATTTTGTATCCCTCAAAGTCTCTGTTCTGTTGTTCACGATTTAAAATCACTGATCAGTAAGACATATCCAGGTATAAATGATGAAGAGAGTCACAGCCTGGCATGGTTACAGGAGAGAGCAATTCTAACACCAACAAATGAATCTGCAAATGGTATAAATCTGTCATTGTTAGAGCAACTACCTGGAGAAATGTCAAGATACGAGTCAGTGGACTCAGTTGTCGAGGCAGAAGATGCTGTTCACTATCCAGTGGAATTTCTACATTCCCTTAATCCACCAGGGATACCCCCTCATCTTCTTTTTCTAAAGATTGGTTCCCCCATTATGCTTCTCCGGAATTTGAATCCACCTAAACTTTGCAATGGGACCAGGCTACAGGTGAATGTTTTACACAAACATGTGATAGAAGCAACTATATTCACAGGCGTTGGCCAGGGAAATACTGTTTTCATCCCACGAATACCGATGATCCCGTCAGACCACCCCTTTCAATTCAAGCGACTGCAGTTCCCTGTAAAGGTGTGTTACGCGATGACCATCAATAAGGCACAGGGGCAGAGTTTAAAGATGGCAGGCGTGGATCTAAGGAATGACTGCTTCTCCCATGGACAGCTATATGTCGCGTGCTCGCGAGTCAGTTCTCCAGACAGCCTGGTCATCCTCCAACCAGAAGAAAGGACAAAGAATATTGTTTACGAAGAAGTTCTTAGTAAATAAAGAGAAAACACTTTTCAAAACACTTAAAGTTCTATTTATCTGTATGAATAGTAAGTAAGAGTATGGATAAGAATTAATGAAACCTACACTGACTAATACAAATTGCATATTTTTATTAATTATTATTCAGTAAATGAAAATTTTAATTCTCTAATAAATTTGTACAAATTTATACGGGGCGAAGCCCGCGGGTAACAGCTAGTATATATATATATATATTTATATATATATATATATATATGTGTCCGTTAGCGCGATAACTCGAGCAAAAATGATCCGATTTTGATGAAATTTGGTACAAACGTGTAAACCTACGTTTATTCAAACGAGTTCGCGAACCAGCATGATCGGACCATGGGAACGGGGGTTTATGGGGGCTGTTATGGGGTAAAAATGGGTTTTTCCCATTTTTGACCCAAAAAACATAAAATTTTGCAATTTCTTTCGAAACTATTTTGTAGAGCTTCAAAAAACAAATAATTTAGTATATTGAAGCGTTATAATGCGCCTAATGGTTACGGAGAAAATTCCAAAAAATTGTAAATTTAAAATTCCCATGTTATTCTTATGGAGAATAAGTAAACTGTTGTAGTTTGCTTGTTTATAAACATATTTTGCCCAAATTTGGAAAATGTTTTTATTTCTTACTAACTATTAACATTTTACATAAAAAACACTTTTACCCTCCCTGTTGCAGCAAACCTAAGTATGTTTTAAACTGATTCCATTTAAATAGGGAATAAATGTGATAATTTTAAGGAGACATTTTAGTGTAAATCCATTCAGGGAAATGGAAATTCGCTTAGTCTGCAGGTTTGCTGAGGCGGGGGTATTTTTAAAATGCTGTTATAGCAACAGTTTTAAAAGAACAAAATTTAAAAAACTATCTTGTAAAACAATTATTTTTTCCTACAATCACCCGACAAAGTGGGCTTCCTTGCCCTGATTATAGTACAGAAATCTGTTAATTGCTGCATTTACTTGCTTTGCCGCACAGTTTTTACTTTTCACACACCAGTATTCCAACCAAAACACAAAACAGCGTGCTTTTATACTGCACGTAATCCGTGTACGCTTAGAAATAGGTTGGTAACACGTGTTCAAGGGTTTTCTTGAAAAAGTAACACGGTAACACCTAAAGATACTACGGCTACGATCAGCTGTTGCAGTGTCTCCCATTTTGTTCAACGCTTGGATTTATCCACGAATACTAGAAAAATTGTAAAGAAAAATAAAAACAACTCCCTCCTACTACTTTTATATATTTAAATATTGTATTTAAATATATTTGCTCCTTGCAATGCTCTCAAATGAATCTTTACAAATGTTGGTTGCCCCTGGGTTGGAAGAACTCCAGAAAATAAAAATATCAGACAGAGCTTTTTGGCAGTGGAAGCTTGATGTTATTGAAAAAATATGAGTGGGCCCTGCAAAATATAAATATTCCCAAAAGGTCCTTAGGGGACGCCCTTGGCACTGTTTGTAGTTCTTCCAAAAAAGTAATACCTTTAATGAGAGCAATTTACCAGTCTTAATTCTACACCGAATTTACTTGCTCACTACTACACTAGTGTTTAGTGTTGCACTTAAAAGGTGAATCTTTTGTAGTGGCCTATTATTTACTGAATTACCTTTTGTTTACCAATTTGATACTATAGCATATAATAAAGAACTACCAGGTTATTGAGAACTAAAAGTGAGTACAATTTGATTTATTAAGCATTATTTAAGATTTACAATGATTCCAGTTTGACAGTTTCTGATTGTGTGGTGCAATATAAAAATATGACCTTGAGTGACACAATCAGACGGAATTGATCTGTCTGAGAATGTTGAACGGATTTATTCAAAGGGGAATATTTGGCGCGGTTTCACACCGATCTCGAAGGTGTCAACGGAGGAGTGGTATTTAATTTAATTTGAGACGACCAGTGCCAAACAAGTCCTGTTCGTTGGCCAACGATGTAAATATGAAGGTCGATTCTCGAAGGTCAACTGATTAAACAGTATTGCGTTTAATCGTAATAATATTTACTGGAACGTTGCTTATTGTTTTATAGCTAATTTGGCACTTTGGCGGTTCGTCTATATGCAAACTGGCACAGCCTCCGATAACACTTCCCGATTCAGCCGAACCAGCAACCTAATCCCTCCTTTGATATTAAATGATTCCCCCAAATTAAAATGCTGATTGTGACACTCTGTAACGAATTGTACTTTTAATAATGACTCTGTGCAAAATTCAAATACTATATAAAAATATTACAAAGCAACTCTGAATTACCCTATAAAAACATTTTCATATATTTATTCTTAATACTATAGAAATATCACAGTCTAATAAATAAAGCGGATTGCAACAATATGAATGGATTTAAAAATCAACAAATTGTGATCGAACCTATGAACATGTGCTTATTCTACATGAATTGACAAAACAAGACAGGAAAATTTACCAAAGTGCGACTCACTGAAAATCTCAATTTAACAAATAAATACACAAAATTACTTACAGTTTGGACGTCCACAAATATAACACAAAGGGGAAAGGATGGGAAAACGTAACTAGCCGGTATACTACAACACGCGATCAATTGAACTCGTGAATCGTTTGAGAAATTTTCAAATGGCGGACTGCGTTTGGCCGGTAACGAACTTTTGCACTTTTTGACAAAAACACTGATTCTAATTTCCGATCGCGAGGCAATTATATCCCTTAGGGATATAGGCTGAACGACTTTAAGGAAATTTAAGATTGGCCGACCAAACGCCGCGAAATGAATTTAATTTCCACGAACGATAAACAATTTTACCGAACTAGCTACGATGAGACTTGGGTAAGGACTGAGTACTGATTTAAACAGATGGCCGCCCGGCTAAACCTTATCCCCTCTCCGTCTTTAGTGCGTGGTGCATTCTGGTCTATACTGATCTATTGTTGAAACCAGCTGACTGTTCTTCGCATTAACCTGTATTGATTTGTTGCCTTTTACAACAAAATCGGTACAAAATGCCCCCTAGCAGAAAAAAATGATCCGTGATCGGCCCAGGACAGTCAAACCTATCGTACTACCTCGGAGCATTTTTGGCCTAGCCGGTGGACCACGACGATACACATGAACACAATTACAATTTACAATCAACAATAACGACAACAATCAGGCAACAACAATTTAAATAATGGTAACAACAATACTAAACTATTACAATGATCTACTTTATGACAAGGACACCAACTGATCATTTCCTCATTAAACACACAAAGGCATCCCGCGCACAGAATAGACACTATGATTTACCACATGTGGTAATCAGCAGAGCGTGTTGTCCGAGGTGGTGAACAGCTGGGCTCGTACATTGTTGTTGGTCGGCAGCGTAGTGGCACAGGTGTATTGGCTCTAGTGGATCAGTAGCACAGTGACCCAACAATGGTCCGATAGTAGTGCTGTCAGCTGGGGAGGGTGGGGCGGGCGCTCAACAATGGTTAGACAGAGAGCGGCGATAACATTGTTGTCAGTGATGCGATAAGCAGGCGATAACCCTCTCTCGACAGATGGACAATATCTCTTCTGCCGTTTTTATAAGTGTGTTTGAAGTATTCATTCTTCTTTATTGTAGTTAACGGTTGGAATTGTTTATGAAATTGTAACACTCGTACTCTGGGCGGATTATGTAACGATTGTATAAACACATTGATTTGTTTGATTTGGTTTTGATGTTGTGGGTTTCTGTTGAGGGTGGGGGGAATGGTCGAAATTATAATGTCTCTATTGCTGGCTTTAATGAGGGTTGTAATGATTTTAAGATTTGATTTGGTTTCATGATGGGTTAGCCTCTGGATCGTAAATTGCAATATAAAAATGGTTTATTTTACCTTTTTGCGTCGAACGATCCGTGTGTAGTTAGTACAACTACAGCTGTTTCATACCACTAGGGTACATCATCAGGTTGTTGGCAGAACGTTAGATAAAACAGCATTCATTCATAGATGAACTTGTCGAAATAAATATGTCTATATACACATAATACACGAAAAACATTTAAAAAACACGAATTTACGAACTTGGCCAAGTAACGAACACACGAGACAGGCGCCGATGGATGTTGCGTCATGACTGCAGTCGTGTGTCCAAGCATCAGCTGTTACCCCTCCCCCCCAACTCCTTTATCAGGACCAGTTTTGTTTTGGTTTAAATGAATGGCAGTATTGTAGATGATATTAGATCTGAATGAAATTTGTTCGTTCAATATATGGTCAGGGTGTTCTTTGGATGCCTTGTATATTTCGAACTCCTCTATTGTGTCCATGTATCTGCCTTTAGTACATAAATGCATAATTTCTAGATTACTATGTATGTCCGTGTAGTTGTGGTTTGCGTTAATTATGTGGTTGGCGAATGCTGATTTCGAGTTCTTTTTGGGTAGGTGTTCTTTAAACCTAGTGGCGAAAGAGCGAGCAGTTTGGCCGATGTAAAAGCTCGGGCAATCGTTACATGTCATTTTGTAAATACCTGTGCTGTTTACTTTATCGGAATGTGTTTTATTTTTTTCTTTAAGCATAGTAGATAACTTGTTAGATGTTTTGTATGCAACGTGTACATCGTTCTTTGCCATTTCTTTTCTCAAGGTGTTATTGAGTACTACTCCAAATTCAGCACATACATACTTTTTGTTTCTGGGTTCTAGAATCTCTTTTGTTTTATTTTTCTGTTTTCTGATAAGTTTATCAATGAGGGAGCTTTCATATCCATTGGCAACGGCAATGCGCTTCAAAATGTTTATTTCATTGTTGTAGTTTTCTGTGGTAAGGGGTATGGATAATAGTCTGTGAACGAAACTATTGTAAGCAGCTGTCTTGTGGTTGAAAGGATGGTGTGATGACGAATGGATGGTCTGGTCAGTTGTTGTTGGTTTCCTGTAGATTTTGAATTCCATGATGTGATCAGTTCTTGTTATTGTTACGTCTAAGAAATTAATTGATTTGTTAGCTTCGGTTTCGA